GCCTAAAGAGTTTAAATCTAAGCTTATGACTCTAGGAAATTTATAAGAGTCTACTTATCTGTCTGTGATACAATACTTGTCAAACAATTCCCTTACCAAAATACTGATCAATAAATCCTTTTGCTGCAGCTGCACTGGCTCCAGAGTCATCTCCATTTTCATCAGGTTTTATGGCTGGTATCTTCTGCTGCAGCATGCGAATTATTTGTGTCCAGCATTCATTTGCATCCTGAAAAGTTTTTTTTCAGAAACAAACTCTAAAATTTACTTTTAATTAGTTAATAATTGTTCCAACTTATAATATAAACTTCTTAAGTCTAAAGGGTTAAAAAAAGAACCCACTACATGGTTAACTGAAACTTCCCTGTATTGTGACAAGAAAACTTTCCTTTAGCTCAGATCTACCCTCCTAAATTAAAATTTATTTAAAATGCTGCACACACAAAAAAAACCCAAAGGTATAGGAACATAACTGATTAATGTATCTCAAGATTAGAAAAATACAGGATTATGGCAAACTCAATGTGAACATTGGTAACCAAATGCTCAAAAAACAACAAGATGTTGTATTTTATAACCTGTTGCGTGTATATTCCTTGTTCAGTTTTCTCTGCAAATTGAGGAAACACACTGTGCAGTATCTGGAAAAAAAAAATGGTTCACAAGTCAACAAGTTATTGACCTTAATCCACTCAACCCTTTAACTGCTCAGAGTGATTAGAATCTAATTTCTCCCTACAGTATCAGCCTTTAATCAATTATAAAGGTCAGGAGAATAAAGTGCATGATCACCAACTAAAGAAGCATTTGATTGTTAAACAAATTCTCCTTGTCAGCACCTTAGAAAATGTATAGAGAACAGTATGGAGAATATGCATACTCAGATTAAAGCGTTAAGGGTTTAGTAAAATTTCATGGCACGTTTTGTAATGGTTTGAGTACAAGTTGTATGCTAGGCTCCTTGAAATCTGATTATGTTTTCCTTGACCTTTTTAACTTTAATAGTGATCAACATCTAACTTCTCCTTGCAGTAATTACTAATGAACATTCATTATAATCATGAGAATAAAGGGAATGATCACCAACCTAAGAAGTTTTGATTGTAAAACAAATTCTTCCTGTCAGTATTAAAAGAAATGTATGGAGAAGAGTATAGAGAATATAGATACTGAACAGATGTCTGGGTATAAAGAGTTAAAGCTTTCCAAGGCAATATAAAACACAAAACAAAGTAGTTCAATCTGTTTTCAAGTTCATAGTCAAGACAGGTAAGACCTACCTGTAGAAAAATAATTGGCGGCATAGAATCTGGTGTTTTGTCCATAATCCTGTAAAGATCTCTGAGTGCCACTGTAATGGAATGTGCAGAATCTCTTGGGTTCCCACTGATATTATATCTGATATAAAATCATAACAAGAATGTGTCAATGTGTAAGAAAAAACTTTAAATTTGTGTTCATATGGAATTTATCAGAAAAAGAAATATTGTAAAAAGAAACTATCAAAATACCTTCTCCTCAATCCTTTCACTCCAAGGATATCATTTGTAGTTCTCCTTACTGTCTGCCATACAATTCTCAAGACATTAGTTTGGAGAATTTGGTATTAGATCAACTAATAGTCCCCAAATTGATAATTTTCTTTATTCGCATTACTAGTCTGCTTGACATAGTATTATAATGTAAGGAGAAGCTCTGTCTTGGTCACTCATGGGAGTTAAAGGGTTAAAGATAAAATAATGATGACACTGAATGTTTGAAGCACGATTTGCGTTGCAACATCGAACATTTCATAATTTTCATTCAAAAGGTAAAATGAATAGCCTCAAGCTTTAACCCTTAAACTCTCATGAGTGATCAAGATAGAGTTTCTCTTTACAATGTCAATACAATATCAAGCAAACAAGTCATGAGAATGAAGAAAAATATAGAGAAGAGGATTATTAGTTGATCCAATACCAATTTCTCCAAACTAACATCATAAGAATTTTATAGCAGACATAAAGGAGAATTACTTAATAAAAGATCTTGGGAGTGAAAGGATAAACACAACCTGGGAAATTTTTTTTTATCAAGCATAATTTCCATGGCTTACTTTGCAAGTGCATCCTTCAGCTCTGGAACATTACGAAGGCACTGCACAGTAGCATTCATGTAACAAGTGTTGCCGAGGTTTTGTAGTCCAGTAGGCATTTCATACTAAGGAGAGGTAGAACCATAACATGAGACTACAGCAAATAGTTTCAGATTGAAGTGAAATTTCAAACAGGGTTTAAAGTAAATTAATAATTAATATTAAGAATCCACTCTTACTGCTGATGCCAGCTGTGCTTCAGTCATGTCTTCAACAAAAAGAGTCTTCTGTTCAGGAGCTTGTGGCAGTTCTCCCACAGATCCCATCATTAGCAAAGTAATTCCCTAAAATAAGACCAAAAATATAACCTAAAGGCAACAATACATGGAGACCAGACAGAAGCTTCTCATTAACCTGTTAACTCCCAGATCTAAATGGTAATTCTGCTTAACTACCTGCCATAAAATGTTCATGTCAGTTTGGAGAATTTGGTATTGGATAAACTAATAATCCCCTTACTGACATTTTTCTTTATTCTCATCACATGTGTTCTTGGGTATTTTTCCTTTTCATAAATTCATTTCTTGAATTTATTATCTTTAGTGTATTTATATTAGTTCATAGGTGATCTGTTTTTATATGGGATTTCAAACTCCTTTGCAGATTATCCTTCGGCCTTTTTGACCATAGATTGTAATAAATAAATAAAACTATGCTTGTACTTAGACTTTGTACTGATCTTGTAAGTGTGAATTGAACTTATTCAGTACCAAAAGGTGTTGTTACATCATGCAGAACTTAAATTTTTTAAGGAGGCAAAGTACTGTTTTTGAACAATGTGGCATTTGATCAGGAAATGCCAGCCAGTGGTCCCTTAACTAATAGCTTTAAGTACTCTGCTCTTATCATTTACTTACATTTTTAAGCTTGAAGTTTCCCCAGTCATTATCCTAAATTAAAGAAGAAATTTTTTTCAAACATGAGTATAACCCTGAAACTAAGAGACCTCATGAGAAGCTCCTTCACATTGTGACCTCAGTTTAGCAATGGTATTACCTGCCTGAACAGGTTTACCTTAATATCAAGTCATGTGACACCATTTTGTTTTACCTCTTTGAACAAAATAATCACCTTGTTCAGCATATTAAGTCTTTTGTAAAGTTTAAATTATCATGTGGAAGAGGTTCAGAGCCATCTTAAATGTTTTGAAAATGTCTTGATACCCCAGCACTCTGTGAAACATAACTAATATACTACAAATTAAGTATTTTTTTTGTTTGAATTGACAGTCCTGATGAAAGTTCATAACATTTCTTGTTCAAAGTAATTTTTTATCCCATCACTCTACTATGAAACCCTTATGTCTGAATAATCACTTTTCTGTGGGATGCCTACAGATTTCTGATCTACGGTTTGTTGCCAGAAGTTTCTAAGGTTAAAAGCTTGGATCGACAATCTAAAAGGAAATGAAATCTTTTATAGCTACAGAATGTTACACTTTTCCATTTTGACGAGCTCGACAGGTAGATACAGGATAAACGGAAATATTGTAAACTCAAAATCAATTATCATCATAATGATACTGTGAAAAATAACAGATTTAAGTGTAACACCCGGCGTCAATGTGTCATAAGATAATTCAATCACGTGGTAATTAATCTAGACATGGACAGGAATTGTCAAATCCCTAAATAGTTTTGCAATTCAAAGAGGATGCATTGTAACTGCTCTGTTAATGAATCGAGCGATCAATGTACCTTAACTACGGATCCCTTGAACATGACTTTTTGTCTTTCAGGCGCCACTCCTGATAAAGCGAAAAGTTGAGCTTTGAAGAGCTCCGGAGACTCATCGCTGTTCAACTCGATGTTATCAAACTTCTCACGACCCCACTTTACAGACACTAGTTTAAGAGAATGAAGAAAGGAAATTACATCAATTACACAATATTTAGATAAAATTCAAATATGGCACGAAGGTGGAATTATATACCTGTGAAAACCGGCATTTTATACAGATTTTTGAGCAGAAATAGTTGGGTGAATTTTGTTTTCTCGTGCAAGTTTTAACTAATTTAAAGTTATCCGCTGACCAACTAGAACTCAGGTCTCTTAACTAGAAAATCGTTCCCAGGGTGGGGTGGGTTGAAATAACATTATATCCCAAAGTACCAAAGTGATGGATCTTATTCACCCCGAACAGAAACAACTTAAAGTTGATGTCCTTTTTTCGTCCAATTCAAAGACGTTAATTTTTTTCGTTACTCGTAACTCAACAATCATGGATTCTACAAGACCCTAGAAAAACACTGAAAAACTTAAGGAAAAAACAGTAGAAAATCTTGATAAAAAATTAAAATGTTACAATAATTGGATATCAGATGCTCATCCTCTGTAACTGAGATCTGGCTGTTTTCCCCCCCCCCCTCCCACTCTTTGGCTCCGCGGGGGCCCTGCCCTCCTGCTTTGCCGACGATGAAATACTTACTTCCTCTGAGTCATCTCTTCAATTCAATTCTCAGCCAGCACTATGTACATGAGTTAAAAATATATATGAAATAAAGCAATTTCCCTGAAAACGGATCTTTTTTTGATCAACCCTTCTATTTTCGCCCGAAAAAAAAAATTCAAACTTTTTCTTTGCGTGCCATTTCTTGAAAGAAGAAAAAATCGCTCAAGTAATAACTCTTTTGGAACAAAAGGTAACGTTATGATCACACGGGAAAATAATTTATTTATTCAGCTGTGGTTTTTGTTCTTGTCGAATTTGTTTTTGTTCTTGTGCAATTTGTTTTGATCTGGTTTCAAGATGTTTATGATGAAATTTTTGTGTAAATGGAAATGCTAAGGCTGTCGCAGTTGTGCTACGGTAAAGTTCTGCAAAGTGCTAGTATTTGCGTGGAATCCTTGAGAAAGTGCTGATTAATTTTATCTTCAAAAAGTTATTGAGTTTAGTCCCCAAAACAAGACTGCAAGTGTTGAGAAAAAACTGACTGGACTTTGGATCAGTTGGCACAGACAACAAAACGCATGGAGAAAAAATAGAATTTTGTTTTCAGGAAGGTCAGTTTAAAGTTTATACCACACCCTTTGAGAACTATATGTCGCTAGATAGATCAAGTTCTTGAGCTTTATTTTTAACCGGACGCGTCAGAAAACTATAGAGTGCTATCAGTTATTTCTACTAATTCGTTTCAGATCATCAAAATTATTGGAGATGGTTTCATGATTACGTCATAAGCACAAAAAATATAAGTAAGAGCTCACGTAGGAGAGAGCCAAAATTTAATGGATGAGTGAAGAAAACTGAGATAAATTTTGAATCAACAGAATTAAGCAAAAGATGTTTAACTGTTTTTAAATACTTCTGTACTTCAAGGGCCACATCATGGAGAGTCGAAGACGTCTGTTTTTTGTACCGATCATTTTTACGTTCGTAACTCTGTCAGCGGCGGTACAGAATCCTGTACCAATATTCATTTCGGAAGCAGGTAGGTTCAAGATAATATAACCAGCAGCTTATAATCTCCCGGTAGGTTATAAAGTATTTGGTTACAGTTTTTTGGTAGAAGAACTTTGACATGCTTTTTTCAATACCGTGTATGAAAAATTGACAAAGGTTTCAGGGATAGGATACAAAAAAACCTGACGAAAAAGTTCGGGGGAACAATGAGTCTTTGAGAGAATCGTCTGAGTACAATTCCTCCTTCGGAATACTTTTTATCAAACTTTGATTTAAGACTGGAAATTTTTAGAAGGCATGAGGTACTTCGCGAGTTAGGAGACATTGAAAGTCCCTAAAGGAGGATTTTGGTTGTGGTTGTGTCACAATAGAATTGACCCGACCCCCCCTGAGGCTCTGTTGGATTCTAATGACCCCCCCCCCTCATTGGCAGTTAATTTTTTATGGTCCCTCTATATATTCTGTTAACAACAACTGATCCACCCTCCGTTCCCTCTGTAAACGATGTGATCCCCTCGAAAGGAAGATTCTACGATAGTGTCCGGTCTTTTGCGATCTTATGCTCCAATTTAAAAAACAAAAAAATTTTGAAAACTCTGTTTGTCCTATTTACTCTAATTTTCTTAAACAGATACGTTTCTAGAGACGGAACACGAAGAAGAAAAAGCGAGTTCAGTGTTCGAATGCGTGAAGCGATGTCTATCTTTCAACTGCAAGTCCATTAATTACAAAAAATCGAGGGAAGGAAAGAATTGCTTTTTGAACAAATTGAATCAAAGGGAGGCGGGCGAGGCGGCCGTAAAGATCAACAAGGAGTTTGTGCATTACGATTTGAGTTATCATATTCAACGAAGTGAGGAAACTGAGTTTGGAACCACAAACGTGGTGAGTGTAAACAGGAAATTATAGACCTCTTTGTCACTTGGTAATGCGGTAACAACTTTTTAACCCCGAATCTTCCCATTATATTCCGTAATCCTTACCTACCAGAATTGTCTTACTATTACAGAATTGTCTCAAACACCGAGAAAGAAGGTTTTTATTCAGATTTGTATATGCAATGGAGATGTTACCAGCCGGGTAAATACACTCTCCGACGAGGTACAAGAAAGCCGGTGGAGAAATGTGCGAGTTGCTATAGGATTGTCAGTTACACTACTAAATTCAACCTCATTCCCAGGGTCCTCTCTCATCCTCCCTCTCGACTTAAGTAACGTGGTTAAGCTAAATTTTCTTAATGTTGACATATTCGAATGCAAACTGCTTATTTTAAATTCTGGGTTCAAAACCAGGCTTCTACTTAAATGAAACTGAATTTCCTTCTATTAATATTATAATATTGCTTTCATTTTCTACTTTCCCCCTTTTTCATCGAACTTTTAACTCTTGTCTGCCGCATTGACGCTTTTAAAATATCTTTTAAAACATTGTTTCATCTCTTCCCCGATAACAGCCCACTGTTCCTCCAGTGATACAGAGTCCTTGTCGCTTTCAACCCTGTGAAAATGGCGGGACATGTATAGAGATAGCCAGTAATAGGACTTTCAAATGTCAGTGCGCTGAAAACTTCTATGGCAAGAAATGTAAACAAAAAGTGACATGTAAGTATAAAAATTTTAACCTCAAAGGCCCGGCCAAACGCATGTAACATTTCAACGCAATATCTTGCAATATTATTGACTCACGCTGTAAGATGTTATAAAGGAGCTGGCCAAACGTGCGCGACATCTTGCAAAATTAAAAAATTTGCGACAAGAATTTGACCATTTTCAAACTTGATCCAACATCTTGCAACATGTTACTACAGAGTGTCGGCCAAACGTGTGCAGTACGCGGCGCGCAACAGTGTTGCAAGATGTTGCGTTGGAATGTTGCGTGCGTTTGGCCGGGCCTTAACGCTATTTGCCTCTAAACGCTCAATATAGTAGAGTGCCTGGTAACTTATTTCACTTAAGAGATCACCCCTTAGATCCCGACTAAAATTTTCTGTCAATCCCTTAATCCTGACGGTTTATACTGACCAATCCCGATCCCGACCCCAAAATTTTTCCCTAGTCCATTTCCTTAACCTTGGAGGGCTTTTTCGGTGGGTGATGATTTTTTCAACCACCATTGATCTGTTGAAGTCTATGGTCACCCTAAGGCGTAAGTTATCTCTTTTCACTAAAATGATGATATAGTTAATTAAGTTTAGAAGTTTTAAAGGTATTGCACGAATAACGTACGTTATAGTCACGGTAACGACTTCCTTCCGTTAAAATTTGACCACGAACAAACGTATCAGTACAGACAGGTTATTATCAAAGAAACGAATAACGATTTCAACAAGTGCATAAAACGCAAAAGGTGACGGCAATCCCATGGTTCCATAACAACGGAAATAAAGAAAAATTAAGTGAACACAGTTCTGCTGTTGAAGCGAATACTTCTTACGAAGCGGGAACCTCTTCCGAGGTGAAAATCAGCCCCTTGTTCCAAAGATGGAATGTCACCATCATCACTCGGGGAATCGTGGTCAAATATTCCATCTTCCTCTTCGTCTTGTTTCCCGATGTTTTCTCGCTGCTCCTCGAAGTCAGATCGTTCGAAGCTGACCAGTTGGCCGGGCTTAATTTCTCTGATAGAGATAAGACAGAAAAGTTCCAGCTCTTGCCATCGTTGTTAGCGCCCAGTCCCTCATCTTCTGTATGCTCTGTGGTGCCATCGGTACAGGTGTTAAGAGTTGAATTGCTGGTATGGCCAACAGGATCATGGCACGTTCGGGTACAGGATACCAAGAATACGGATTTGTAAAATAGTACGTCGCCAAATGGGTTGTCCTCTTTACCCCCTCTTTGGCTGCATTTCCAAAGTTTCTTGAGTAATCTAACACCGTGAAAAGTGTACCTTTGTGATGCAAAACCGAGTGATTATTCTTCACGTTTAGTGTCATACAACTTAACAGGTTAAGAGCGTCATGTCGGTATGATTCTTAGACTTGCTGGGGGTTTTTCAAGGCCGTTAAGCTTTTCAACTGACGCAGCAGTCTTAGATGCCACGTCACCTTGTGGGCCGTTGAGGGTTTTTGGTAAATTGGCAACTTCACTTCTCAGGATATAATTGTCTTTCTAGCGCAATATCTGTAGACTGTCGCTGAACAGCCCGACCGCCTCCTAAATGCTAGACAACCTTTACGCCTGGTACTTTTCATGGAGTGAGAAGATCAATTTCTTCATAAATCCTCGTCAACTGACATCCCGGTTCTCGCTTAATTTAGGTAATTGTTTCCCAAATCCCGCTCCTCAAAATCGCCGATTTCCGTGTCCTGTTCATAATAGCAATCCCGCATCTCGCTCCCCTCTTACTTTAAATTCCCGGATCCAAGCCTTTAAATAACCCCAATCCCAGATCCCGTAAAACCTATTGGGGACCCTCATCCAGAACTTGAGAAGTTCTTGATTATTAAACCAATTCTGTCTTGTCTATTATATAGAGAAAACTAAAGCATATTAATGATAGGGTGTAAAGGCTTTATGGCTCCCACGATTTTTCCATCTCAAAAGAGGGGATGCGGCCAGGACTGATGACGATCAGTATGACGATGACGAAAATAAATAAATATCAATCGCAATGATTTATCAAGTTACATCTTACTTTACATCGATTCACTATAAAATTCACCTGTAGAAGTTTTCACCACTTACAATACACTTTTATTTTATCCATCAGATTGTGACGCTAATCCTTGTAAAAACGGTGGAACGTGCATAGAAGTACCCAGTACAAAAACCTACAAATGCAACTGTACGAATACATTCACAGGCAAAAACTGTTCAGAATCAACAGCCGTCGCGCAGAGTACGGACGCATCCCGTGAGTATAGTAAACTTCATTTTTCCTCTGCACTTTTTCCACTGTAAAGATATCCCACGAACTCAACCTGTCATTCCTTATGATGCCATTACAATGGCCAAAGGCCGCTTTTTCCCTAACAAAATAAGAAACGCCAATAAAATGTCAAGAATGTGCAGTTTTTAAAACATCCGATTTCTAACACAAACCTCTTATTAATATTAGTTTGCGGTGCAGTTGTTTCCTGAGAGGAGTGAGGTCTGGGGCCTACTAAGGAATACGAAGACACCAATTTACAATTTATTTTACTAAAATGTCGTCAAATCTCAGCTCAATTAAATCTTAAAAAACGATTGCTGAAAAAAGACCACAAACTTCCAAATTTTAATGTAACAGTTGTACTTGTTTTCCATTTCGTAGCAACTGTTGCAAGTCTTGATAGAGGCAATGGAGAACCTCAAAATGAAAATGACTATAACTTTGAGCTTATATTCAGAAAAACTCAACATACGAGCTATGTGAAACACGATATAAATAAACAGTGGATTACACACTTTACCGTCTGTGCCT